TGTGGCGAGTGTCTCAAGTGTGTTGCAGAGGTGTAGGCGGGCGTAGGCCTTAAGCATCGGCTATCAATGCCTATCATCCAAAGAAGTGGCTATGGCAGACCGAAATGGCCTTCGTAGCTATAGGCCAAGGTATAATATTCCTGGGTGTGGGAGCACGAAGATGAGAAGGGTACCCTGGTGGAAACCATATTGTCCTATGGGAAGCCTAYAGGGGAGGTGAGATTAAAAATTAATGTTTCTGGCCACAGGGAGCAGGAAATGAGGAGAGACGAGGGAGTGTAGGTAGCGATTACCAAGGCTCGCAACAAAGTTGAGAGAAGGTGCAGGCATGACGGAGTAACTGTGGGTATGAGGGTGACYGTTACTTACCACGAGGATGACTTTTCTACCAGAACGATGACCAGGGAAGTGCAGCATGCCGACAAGGACTCTGAAGGTGAGTCTGAAATGAGTGATGCAGAGGCGACCCAGTCMTGGCACGGATGGGACCGGTGACGACGGGATCACCCGCCTGCAGAACCCCTGGAGAGGGGCCAGGAGGCCAGCTCGCGACGACATGATCGGGACCAAGGTCGCTAGGCRATCACGGGAGGCTCACTCACGACGRYGGAAAACAGACTGAGACCATGATACACGCGYGAGAGAGGCTAGACCGTGTGTGCCAGTGCAGTATGTGTGCTCGGGATGCTGACGTCAACTTCAGCGTCYGGAAAGCTAGAGAGAGGGGGACACATGTGAGAACYAGGGCGAGAGAAGATCGCCACTGCAACCTTCTCGGACGAGTAGATAAAAGAGAGGTTTTAGCATGCTCACTATGTAAGGCTCAAGCGGGACGATGTGACGGGAAGCTAGCCGCCGTGTGTGCTTGGAGAGGGTCAACTTGATAATGAAGTGGGTGTGAGAGGCGTTAACAAGACTGTGATCTATGGTCTGTAAAGTTTTTTTTTCCYGGAAGGGGGATGAAGCTARTAGCGATTACAGGTCCCGGTAGAGCGTATGCGGTGTGCTGCTTGATCACTCATCGTCGTCGGAGGTAGAGGGACGACTTCACGTGACAAGAGAGAGCGTGACCATTGATGAGTGCATTACAGCAGAGCGCAAAGTGGTGCGTGAAAGAAGAGAGGGAACTACAGTTTAGACCCACAACTTTCTTTAACACGGCAGAGAAGGGAGAGTGGTGCTCGCCTTAGCCATGTGCTCGGGGTCGGCTCACTGCAGTCCATGTCACTGTCTGAGCATGCTCCGCCCTCGGGTGATCATTCTGCTTCTTCTCCTTCTCTAGTCAATGCAGGCTCCTCGGTTCAAGTGATTGGTGACGCCTTCACAGTTTCCCATAATAAACGGAGGATGAAGTTCTCATTGGTGACTTCACTAAAGGTTATGCGTAGTCAAACAACTCTCCTTCTCTGGAAAAACACGACTGAGAGCGACTGACTATGATGAGTGTTAACTGCGACTTAAAAAAAAATTAGGAAGAAGGCAGACAACTACAGTATGAKGCGATGGTGGTTCCTAGAGGGCAATGTTTTTGTCGCACTCACCCTCTTTGTCGTAGCCCRATCGCGCATCTGCACATCTGRGTTTGTGGTCAGTATCATAGCTTTCCTGAGTGAGTGAACAAGAAAAAGAYTGGCATAGACATCTGAGGCAGACTGTCGGTAATCCTCGCGACTGCTTCCCAGCCCTTGTTCGTGAGAGAAAGAATGAGTAATATACGTTGGAGAAAAAGRGAGAGGGGGGTGAGAATGGCACGGTTTCAAATAGGAAAAGGGGGCATGTCGTGCGAGCACGCCATGAGTCATCCCTTATACGCGGAGTCATAATCTGTATACAGTAACTAGAATCGGTATATGCGTTTTGAGGTGTCCGTTGTAAGCAGGGGGCATAGAGGCGGAACCTTCTTAAGAAGGTGCTTGTCTCCAAGCGTTATTCTTCTTTTCATGACATAGTCTTGAGATTGTATGCACCCTCGTACGAGTACGGATTCGTACTCTTGTACTCGTATGCTACTCGTATGCTAGGGGCCCCGTACGAGTTTTTTTTTTTTTTTTTTTTAATCTGGTATTGTTTTTTTTTTTTCCCCTCAAATTCTAATAAGAATCTGAAGATGATGTTCTGCCAAATGTTGGTTTTTTTGTGTTGTTGCAGCATATATGTTTTTTTCGGATTTTTTTAATGACTTTTTTTTTTTTGCTTGTTCGTACGGGGGCATACAAGACGTACAGGTTCCCGTACAGGTTCCCGTACAGGTTCCCGTACAGATCCCGTACATAAATTACCTGAACGTTTCGTACGGAAAGCCCCCATACGTGTACGYTATGCAACGTAGATTATAATTGTTGTCATCAATGTAAAAGTGTAACGTGCTATTGACCTGATATCGCTCTCGATCGTTSTTGATGCYACGTGCCAAAGATACTTGATGAGTGAGGGTCTGGAGATGACTGAGGGAACTCTTAGATTGTCGACCCTGAAGATGAGTTGATAATAGGGTTGTGATCGAGCCACTGGAAAAATCARAAGGGTTGGTAAAAATTATTCCGTGTAAACTTTTGATGGTGTCAAGTTGCTATCGTTCTCTCTCTTTTACGACGACATATCATGACCACCGTTTGTATGAAGAGTTGGTTATTGTCGGGATCAATCAGTCGCCTGGATTTGAGTAACATTAAGACGAGAGGTTGATTACCTGTGCCGGAGAGGTACTCCGACAAAGGTAACGCAATCGCGCTCGTGTTTCTGTCGCTCGGAATATGCAGTGACTGAAATCCTGGGTCCCGACCTAATTGGCGGGTAACTGGTAATTAAGACGGTACATAGGATGCCAGTGGGATGAGGGAGCTGAGGGTTAACTGAGCTTGACTTGTCAAAACCCCCGTCATGAGCGAACCCTGGGCAGGGACAAGAGTCGAAGCCACGATTGTCTCTCCCCCTTCTCTTTCAATTGCATTTCATTAATGATCTTCGTTGATCCCACCTCCTTTGTCATCTTTAGTAAGTCCGCGTCCCCCTGATTCGAACGAAGGAATTCTCTTCCGTTTCACTGTACGCCTTGACAAACTGTACTGGGTAATGAGTACGGCCATATGGGGCTTTGATTGGCTCCTGCCAAGGCCTCGCCAAGAGAAAGAAACAAAACAGAGAAGAACCATTACCGCTTTATGAAAATCTTGCATGTGTGACTAATGGGAAAGAAGGGAGTTGTACTAAGAAAAGTGGCGTACTTGCTGGTCAAGATCTTACTAGATGGGGACTAGTAGGGTATGTACTCAGATGCATATAAGGGGGGGGAAAGAGTAAGTGGTGAAGAGAAAGAGAGGCCACGAGTGATGCGTATGGGTATCAACAAGTTACTGCCCAATCATGGGTCCCTCCTTAACTGTTGTAATGCGCGTCACTCGTGAAATACTGTTATGTCTCGACCAGACTTTATTTAAAACAGTGGATGACTTGCACGAATTAATCACACTCTCTCACAATTGAGACGATTAAGAATGCAAAAAGGACAGTCTAAAACTAGCGAGAAACTTGCCCTRATATCCGCTCACTGATCATTATCTCCTAGTGAGTTAACTAAGAAGAAAGATCAAGTAATGCCAGAGTGCAAGCAACATTTTCAGACAAAGCTGGGATTGACTTTGTTTACCTTTGTGACCTATCCTAGAAGATTTGACTCCCAACCTCAACATTTGATCAGGGATGCACGGTAACGTTGTTCTCAACCGCACTRTTGCATCAACACTCAAACAGTCAACTGTTGTTTCTGCAAAACCCCTGAAGGTCATCGGTAATCTATCTTGCTTATTGCATGAGTCGTTTCTGATGGAAGCCTTACCGTTTTCAGCTCGCTGGATAGTAAGTTGAGTAGAGACGTTGAGGCGGAAAGAAAGGTCTTGATAACTAWAAATGCAGAAAAAACAAGCATAAAGCGGGTTCCTTAKTGGAAAAGGCTGAGCAGACCAGATCGGTGTTTGGATCAGGTGTTGTTTGTTAACATGTGTGGAACCTCCCCAGAGTTACCCGTGGTCTAACCTACTCGTTGCTTGAGATCTGGGGCGTGTTGGAATCATGAGGGAGGGAGAGGTCCTGGTGATGAAATGCAGCGTTACTTTGAGAGTTCGCTGGATGAGATTGACACGGTCGAGCCACTGAGACGAGCCCTTCGGCAGCTCATGCAGTGCTCTATTCTGGAGTATCTGGCGGCATCGAAGCCAGCCCGCGATGAGTTACAGATGATCACACGAAAGACTCGCATACCTCTATCAGAGGAGGCTCAGGGGGCCCCTAAGGCGGAAGCTCCTACCGTAGCAGTAACGGGGAGGACTGCCAGAGCGGATCGCATGGCGACAGCCCTTCTTGATGGGATGGAAGGTGTGCCACCAAACAAGTTTTACATACTTGGTAGTGGGGCCGTGGAGACGATCATAAACGATGGAGCGGTAGTAGATGTTGTGATCGATAACGGCAGTGAGGCTGTCATTATAGACGAGGATCTGACAGTACAGGTTGGACTGGGCCTCGATAGGTCATACCTATTCGAGATAGAGACTGCTGATGGGAGAAAGCAACAGATCACTAGGGTTTGTCACAAGGCAGTCATAGAGGTCCAAGGGGTACGAGTGACCCTGCCCGTCTTTGCAGTCAAGAACTGCAACTCCGATCTGCTCTTGGGAAGAACGTGGTTGAGCCACGTGCATGCGGTGACGATAGAACGACCGGATGGAAGCCAGACGTTGTCCATTAAGAAGCTAGATGGGACACGGGTTATGATTGAGACGGTGGAGCCTCGGGATCCAAGGAAAAGAGTAGCTCTCGCAGTGGGAGCAAGACCCAATGATCAGATTAAGTCATTACCTATCTCTGGCCGCGCGGTACGATTTCGCGAGAAGAAGTATGCACCACTGCTCACAGAGGAAGAAGGCCGGATCGTGGAAGTGGAAGATTTAGGGGGTCGGCGGATACTGGACGGCAACTCGTACCCAAAGGAGACAGATGAGGAATTTGGCGGGGTGGTATCTGTGTCTTTTTCAAGAGCACGGCCCCCTATGGGGGGCTACCCAAGCGACACAAGCGAGTAGCTCAAAAAGTTAAGCCAGCGGCAGTGGGCCGCGAGCGATCTCCACTGCAAGGGATATCGGAAGAAAAGATCGCAAAAGAAATCAAAGAAAGAAAGAAAAAGGAGCCACAACGCCTAACGGAAGAGAGGATAGCAGGGATGGACATCGGAGATAGAAATCTGACCCCACAGGAGCGAGAACGTGTGATAGAAATTTTCAAGACATGTGATAAGGCAATAGCTTTCAGTGACGCGGAGTGCGGTAGGGTTGACCCTCGATACGCTAAGCCAGGGAGGATTTACACGATTCCACATGTTCCTTGGAATGACGCAGGATGGAAATACGCCCAGAAAGAGAAGGAAGAAGTTATCGCCTTCCTGAAAGAAAACATGGTTTCCCATGTAGCGGAGCCGTCTGATAGCGCTTATGCTAATCGATGGTTCTTCCTACGAAAGCCGAATGGCAAGATCCGATGGATCCAAGACCTTCAAAAGGTCAACGTGGTGACGATACGAGACGTGGGCTGCGTGCCGCACGCCGATTTACTAGCAGAAGGCGCCGCAGGCAGGTCAATTTATTCGGTCTGTGACCTGTTCTCAGGCTATGATGAGGTACCGCTTGATCCTAGGGACAGGCACCTCACGGCTATGCATACGCCATTGGGACTGATACAAATGATGGTTGTCCCTATGGGATGGACTAATGGGGTAGTTGTTTTTCAAAGAGCCATGGTAGCCGTCCTTAAGGACTTCATCACTGATAAGGTTGAGGTTTTTCTGGATGACTTTCCAATAAAAGGGTCAGTAAACAAGGATGATACAGAGGTTGTACCAGGAGTTAGAAAATTCGTCGAGCAACACCTAACAGATATTTGCGCGGTACTTGAGCAGCTGGATGATGCGAATTTGACGGTCAACGGAACAAAGAGCAGATGGGTCGTCTCGACTATTAAGATCTTGGGCTTTATCTGTGACTCGAGAGGACGCTGAGCAGATCCGGCGAAGCTAGACAAACTCTTAGACTGGCCGTCACCGTTACATAGTCCAACTGAGGTCCGACAGTTTTTGGGGGTGGTCGGATATTGGTGTATATTCATACGAGGGTATGCGGAGAAGGCTGAGCCGTTGAGGTTACTCCTTGGAAAGACTGAGAAATTATGTTGGGGTTCTTCGCAGGAAACGGCTATGCAAGACCTTAAAGACGAATTTAAGGAGGGAGGACGCGTACTGGGCGTGCCATTCTTTGGCGATAAGACCGAGAGACCTTTCATAGTGTCCACGGATGTGGGACCTTGTTCGGTTGGTGGGTTGCTGTCTCAGAAGGACGTTGGAGGGAAGGAAAGACCGTTAAGATTTGAGAGTAGAACACTTAATACGGCTGAGCGTAACTACAGTCAATTCAAGAAGGAAGTGTTAGCTGTTCTCCGGTGTCTAGACACGTCCAGACACTATATCTATGGGCGACGGTTCATCTTGAGAGTAGACCCCACCGCAGTTGCCTCTGTCCTCCAGAAGGACTTTAGTCTGACGGACCCGACCATCGCCCGATGGTTAATACGGATTCGGCTATATGATTACACGGTTGAGAGGATATCTGGCACTAAAAATGTCGTGGCAGATGGACTTTTGCGCATCCCTCTTGAGGCCGAGCGCCCGATAGTAGCTGGGGCCCTGACTGTGGCGCAGCCAGGACGCACCGAGCGATTTCTGGTTAACCTTTACGAGGGCAAATACCGAATGATCGGGCTACATTTGTCAGGAAAGGAGAGTCAAGAATCAGGTATCTGGAGACAAGCGGCCCAGTACTGCCTTAGAGCTGGCCATCTGTTTCGAAGGCCGGGCGGCTCGGGGATGCCCTTACGAGTAGTTTGTGACCCTGAGGAGAGACAGACAATAGTTGCGGAGCTTCACGATGGGGTAGTCGGAGGACACAGGGGAGTCAAAGGAACCTACGAAAAGGTACGCAGGTTGTACACGTGGGAAGGACAGTATAAGGACGTCGAGAGGTACTGTATGAACTGCAAAGAGTGCCAGAAGAGAGCTTTTGTGAAATACAAAGAGCCACTTCATCCATCCTATGTGACCAGACCAGGAGAGAAGGTACACATCGATCTGGTGAAAATGCCGAAAGGGGTAGGCAATATGAACTACGTCGTGAACATACGAGACGATTTCACTGGGTTCGTGGACGGTAGACCTACCAGGAGTAAGGCGGCAAAGGAAGTAAAGAACTTCGTCCTAGAGTACTTATCTAGGTATGGTTGTGTCAGCAAGATAGTGATGGACAGAGGGGCGGAATTCCTAGCCGATAAGGTTCAGAGCGTGTTCCAAAGAGCTGGGGCAAGAGTTTCGATAGCCACTGCCTACCACCCACAGTCGAACTCCCCAGTAGAGAGGGGACACCAGGCTCTGATCGCGTCACTGTCCAAGTGGTGCAAGGGTAAGGACAGTGATTGACCACGATATTTTCGATATGCGATATAGGCGGACAACGTCACGGTCCGGGCTAGCACTGGGTACCCACCCTACACCTTATGGTTTGGGGGACATTGTCCGCTCCCCAAAGAGTTTCACATCAACAGCTGGACAACCATTGACTGGGCGGAGGAGATGTCCCGAGAGGAACTCATAGCTGCCCGAACAAGACAGATAGCCTACGGTTTGGAAGACAATCTTATGACAGCGGCAGATCGTCTGGCAATGGAGAGGGACAAAGGTAAAGTGAGATGGGATAAGAACGTGCGGATCAGAAAGGAGATGGTGAGCATAGGAGATATGGTCCTTCTCTACGACGCAGCACTGGAGAGGACCTGGACCGGAAAACTCGCAAACAGATGGATGGGACCTTATAGAGTGGTTGAGGCACTCGACTGGGGTGCATATATGATAGCGGAATTAGACGGATCCAAGTGGAAGGACCCAGTGGCAGGTGTTAGGTTAAAGTTGTTTAGACCCAGGCTTGCACCCCGCTTATCGCTGACAGGCCCGAAAGGCAAAGAGAAGGCCAAAATGGGGGCTGGAGCCCCCTTGACGTGATATGAGGCGGGAGAGAGTTCCAAGAAGAGGAAAAGGGTGGAGAAAAGAAAGGTCAAAGGGTTGACGATGGGAAAGAGGAAGAAGTGGTTATTCGTGCTCAGGAGAGTCAGACGGAGAGTTCGTATTAGACAAGCTGACGAGCCGGCACCTATCACGGGCCGACCTCAGAAGAGAGGGAGAATCCTTTCCAAGCCAAATTTCCAAAGAAAAAAGGGAGTCAAGAAGCGACTTCTTAGTCCCAGAACTCATAACGAACTGAAACATAAGACAATTAAACACCGACGTGGGCATCCTTTACGGACAATCACCCTGAAGCTCGTCCGCTTCATCTGACGTAAGTGGATAGGGCCCGACGGGGGCGTCGAGAAGTGGTCCGGGCTAACTGTCAAGCGGCCACAAGCAGTGCGCCGCCTGAAATCTGCGGTTTTGGGACTTAGGCCCAGGGACAAGTCCGTGTTTTGACGGTACTCTGATATGATTAGGCAGCAAAAATTAGGGGAACTCAGGGCACCCCTGATTTTGGACACATATAACCTTACGACGAACCCTCAAAGACGGTGAGATGGGTAGGCGCACTTGGCATATCTAGAGACCGTTATTTCCAGTCGTTCAGAAGGTTAGACTCGGATTGGCCTGTCGCGAAGAGGCATCACGGAAACTGACCTCGCTACAACGTTTTTGCAGCAATACAACCGGGGCCGAAAAGAGGCCTCAATTTTTTTTCTATTTTAGTACCAAAATTAAAGAGGGGGTAAAGGATTAAGACCGGTAGGGGAGAAGGAAAAAAACATAATATCTCTTAATTTCTTTATTTTTTACGACATTTAATTCTAGAGGGAATACTCTTGTTATTTTATGTTCCTGGCAAAGAAATTAAAAACATAGAAAGAGATTAAAAAAAGTAAAAGAGAAAAAAAACAGAAGGAATTCGGCCATTTATTTAAACTTTCTCGGAATTTAATTCATTATTTCCGACAAAAGAATTAGGAAAGGGAAGAATGATAAAAAACGATGAAAGGGACGGGAACCCATGATTATTCGGAGATTGGCCTAATTTCGCCTCGATTACCCGCCATCAGCCCTGACCCCGGATTGAACATTTTCCCGGATTTTAACAGTTTTCAATACTGCCGATGGTCAAGGTTCCCTGCGTCGCTTTCGCAGGTTTCCTTGATTACTAACACTACCGCCGTTGGGATGTTCTGAGAGCGGGAGACGCATGGACAGGTGCTACCTTGGGTCACTATGATGTTTGGTTCGGTGCGGGTACGGGGGCAAAACCTGAAATAAGCTGATGCCGAACCCACACCGAGCTTGGAACAATTGGTGTAATGGTGTCGGTTCCGAACCCGAACTGAGCTACCGCGGTGGTCTCAGACCTGAAAATAAATCACTACGAGGGTTCTGACCCTGAAAACGAGACGCCGAAGTGGCCTCATGCCTCAAACATACTGACGCCAGCCCCATACCGAACCAGAAATATACCGCTGCAGAGGCTGGAGGCCTGAAGATAAATCACCGCGGAAGTTCTGAACCTGAAATAGATCGTCACAGTGCTCCCGGACCTGAGAATAAATCACCACAGA